CGAGACTTTATCTCATAAAACAAAACAAAACAGACAGTTCCTTTCCAAGACATGTGCTGATCTAATTGTGGTAGACAGAGTAATGGCCCTCACAGACGTCCATGTCTAAATCCCCAAAACCTGTGAATATGTTAGGTATGTGTAATCAAGTTAAAGAATTAAGACAGAAGGTGGGTGCATGGGGATTGGAGGCTCACAGGCCATGAAATTGCCTTGGGATGGGGTGATGGATGGAGCTAAAGCATTTTGCACCCAAGTCTTGAGGCCAGTGTCTTAGTCCATTTTCTGTTGCTACAAAGAACACCTGAGACTGGGTGACTTACACAGGAAAGATGTTTACTTGACTCACAGTTCTGAAGGCCGGGAAGTTCAAGAGCATGGCAGCAGCTTCTGGTGGTGCTTTTGTCCTGCATCACAACACAGCGAGTGGGAACCCACTCACTCCCTCAAGAATTCGCCCAGTTCCTAAAGAGCAGCATTAATCTCTCTTAATGGCCTTACCACACCTTAGAGGCCCCACCTCCCAACACCCCCATGCCTGAACCAAATTTCCAACATATGAATTCCAGGGACCCACTCCAACCACAGCAACTGGGAAAATGGAGGCCAAGAACTGCGGATGAGTCTGACTCCCCCTGGGTACCGAGACACGTTCACCACTTTGGCTCATCTGAGAAATTCATTGAAGCTTCATTACACACCCGCTCCTGAAGGGCCACAGAGCACACCCCCAGCCTTTCCACGGCAGCCTTCAGGCTGCAGCTTCTTCTGTGCCGCGTCTTCTCGGCACAATCCCAGTCATGTGTTGTGCTCTCAGACCTATATGAGGAAACAGAGGTCATCTTCACTTTGCAGCCTGAACTCTTTTCAAGGAAGGGAGATGCATTTCGGCTGTCACATTGTATGATGATTGGTACAGCGGGCACAGCAGAGCAGAAATGGAATCAGCTGCCAGGGGCATTTTGAACATCTTCCAAAAAACAATTTTAAGCCATTCTGAAATCTGTGAACTTATGTAGAAATCTGTATTGTCCTTACATTCAACTTTCTATAAAGTATATTTTACATTTTTTTAGAAGGTACCTTCCTTTTGATGTTGACAAAGAGTCAAGCTCCGTCAAATACTTAAAAGAGGTTTATTCTCAGCTAAATATGAGTGACCATGGCCCCAGGGAGGCTCAAGAGATCCAGAGATGTGTCCAAGGTGTCTGGGTTGCAAGTTGGTTTTATACATTTTAGGGGAACATAAGATATCAATCAAGGCATGTGAGGTAGACATTTGGTCTGGGAGGGCAGGACAACTGAAAGTGGGCTGGGGAGGGAGGGACACAGGGGAGTGAGCTGACAGGTCATAGGTGGATTCAGTTTCTGATTGACAATTGGTTGAACTGAATTGTATTATTATCTAAAGATTGGAATGAATTAATAGAAAGGAGTGTCTGGGTTAGGATAAGGGGTTGTGGAGATCAAGGTTCTTGTTAGTAGATGAAGTCTCGTTGGTGGAATTCTGGTCTGTTTCTGATGATTTTGCTGTGTCCCCACCCAGATCTTATCTTGAATTCCCACATGTTGTGGGAGGGACCCAGTGGGAGGTAATTGAATCATGGGGATGAGTCTTTCCCAGGCTGTTCTCATGATAGTGAGTCTCACAAGATCTAATGCTTTTATAGAGGAGTTTCCCTGCACAAGCTCTCTTTGCCTGCCGCCATCCATGTAAGACATGACTTGCTCCTCCTTGCCTTCCACCATGATTAATGAGGCCTCCCCAGCCATGTGGAACTGTGAGTCCAATAAAACTCTTTCTTTTGTAAATCTCCCAGTCTTGGGTATGTCTTTATCAGCAGCATGAAAATGGACTAATGTGGTTTCCTATGTAGACCTTTAAAAGGTGCTAGACTCTCTCAGGATTGGGAAGGTCTGGAAGGGTAAGATCTAGTAATGTTACAGATTCTTCACAGATGCAAATCTCCCTCCACAAAAGACAGCTTGGCAGGGCCATTTCAAAATATGGAAAAGAAACAAGTTTGGGGGTAAAATATCTTGATTTTCTTCTTTATCTGTCATGTGATATGTCAGTTGGAGTTGGTATCTAACTGCTAGTCTGTTCTGTCAGTCTTAAGATTTCTATTTTATTTTTATTTTTGAGACACAGTTTCACTCTGCGGCCCAGGCTGGAGTACAGTGGTACAATCTCGGTTCACTGCAACCTTCTCCTCCTGGGTTCAAGTGATTCTCATGCCTCAGCCTCCTGAGTATCTGGGATTATTGGTGCATGCCCAGACAATTTTTGTATTAGTAGTGACGGGGTTTCTCCACGTTGGCCAGGCTAGTCTTGACCTCTTGACCTCAAGTGATCTGCCCAACTCGGCCTCCCAAAATGCTGGGATTACAGGTGTGAGCAACCTTGCCCGGCAAAGATCTCTATTTTAATGTTAATGCTGGTCTGTTTCACTAAACTCCAAAAAGGAGAGGCACATCATGAGGCATGCCCAATCCTCCACTGCTTGTCATGGTCTGAACTAGTTTTTCAGATTTCTTTGGAATCTCCTTGACTGAGAAGAGGGGTCCATTCAGTTGGGTGGGGGGCTTAGAATTATGTTCTTGATTTACAAGATAGAAGAATATTAATTATTGGAAAAACATCAAACAACTTATGGCAGCTTCACAATAAGGTGTTACATTAGAAAACTAAAGCAGAGTAAAACTGTTTTATTTCCTTTATTGGAAAATATTTCCTGTAGGCAAGACGGTATTGCAAGTTCAATTCAAGCTTAAAGACTGACATGGTTGGGCCGAGTCTCCACCCAAATCTCATCTTGAATTCCCATGTGTTATGGGAGGGACCTGGTGGGAGGTAATTGAATGATGAGGGCAAGACTTTCCCATCTTGTTCTCATGATAGTGAATACGTCTCACGAGCTCTGACGGTTTTAAAAACAGGACTTGCCCTGCACAAGTTCTCTCTTCGCCTGCTGCCATCCATGTAAGATGTGACTTGCTCCTCCTTGCCTTCTGCCATGATTGTGAGGCCTCCCCAGCCATGTAGAAGTTTAAGTCCATTAAACCTCTTTTTCTTTCCAGTGTTGGGTACGTCTTTATCAGCAGCATGAAACAAACTAATACAGAGGCCCTCCCACAATTCTCCCCACCCATGGCTACAATAGGTAATTTTTACTTTTTCTTTATTGTTTCTGAGATGGAATCTCACTGTGTCACCCAGGCTGGAGTGCAGTTGCCTCATCTCCACTCACTGCAACCTTTGCCTACCAGGTTCAAGCAATTCTGCCTCAGCCTCCCGAGTAGCTGGGACTACAGGTATGTGCCACCACACCTGGATAACTTTTGTATTTCTAATGGAGATGGGGTTCACCATGTTGGTCAGGCTGGTCTCAAACCCCCGCTCGCAGGTGATCGACCTGCCTTAGCCTCTCGAAGCGCTGGGATTACGGATGCGAGCCACCATGCCCAGCCTATAATAATTTTTAAAAGAAAAAATTAAAAACCAGCAACACTTCATAGACCAAAAACGAACCAGAAACACATAGGAGCTCACAGGATCCAGACCTTGGACCTGTGGGGGCTCTGGACCCCCAAAGAGGGAAAGGTGCTTGGGAAGGCTGTCCTCGAAGAGTGAGGGGCGGAAGGTGACTGAGAGCAGCAGAGAGCAGCCAGGAGCATCGCTGAAGATGAGGTTGGAATAAGTCTCTGTAACTGCCCAGTGGCTTCATCTTGCCCTCCCTGCACAGAACCGAGTTATCAAGACAGGGCAACGGCAGAGAAGAAAAGGTAATTCACGCAGAGCCGGCTGTGCAGGAGACCGGGTGTTGCCATGAGTCTGTCTCCCTGCACAGTCAGGGATCACAGTCTTTACAGATACTTTGGAGGGTCGGGGCTTCGGGACATGGGGAGTGCTGGCTGGGCAGGCTGCAGATGGAATCGGGGGTCCACGTGAGGTTTCCTCGCTGCTTTCTTTTTCCTCCCTCAGGACACTCACCGCGTTTCCTCGCCCCCCTCACTCCTCCGTCCACGGCAAGACACTCGGCAGAGGTAGCCTCGCTTCTCAGAGGAGGACGGTCTGAGTCCGGGTTCCTCTGGGAGCCAGCCCCGAGGCAGATTTGGGGACAAGCGGCTCACGGAAGTGAGTCCAGGAAGCCCCAGGAGAGCAGCGGGAGTGAGCGGGGCGGGAAGGGCAGGCAGCGGGGGCGGCTGCCGCTGCTCCTGGGAAAACGTGGGAGGCAGCTCGGGAAGGACGAGCTCCTGGGGTTTTGGAGCTTCCCGGCCTGTCCAGACTGCGAGGGTGAAGTCTGAAAGGGCTTCTGAGCAGCAGGAACACTGCGGCCTAAGGCGGGAGCTGAGGGAGGGACTGCAAACACTTCCGTTAGGACTGAGCACAGGGGCCCCAGCCTCCATTCTTCACTGCTCGGCTGTCCTCGAGCAGCCGCCCGCCCCGGGCCCTCCTGCTCCCCAGGGCACCCACCATCCCGCTCTCTTCCTTCCCCTCTGGGCCAGGCCGCTCGCCCTTCCAGACTCCCTGGATCCCTACGCGCCCTCAGTCACTGCCGCTCTCGGACGGCGGGCACGGAAAAATGGATGCCGTCGTCGGCCGCGTGCGTGCGCAGGCGCACCACACCGCGCGCAGGCGCACCACACCCCGGGCGCGCGCACGCACACCCACACCCCACACCCACCCCTGGGCAGGCGCGCCACATCCCGCGCGTGCACACACACCCCACACCCACCCCTGGGCAGGCGCGCCACATCCCGCGCGTGCACACACACCCCACACCCACCCCTGGGCAGGCGCGCCACATCCCGCGCGTGCACACACAGCCCCCACACCCACCCCTGTGCAGGCGCACCACACACCGGGCGCGCGCGCGCACACACACCCCCCCACACCCACCCCTGTGCAGGCGCGCGCGCGCACACACGCACCACACCACACCCCGCGCGCGCGCGTGCGAACACACACAGAAAGCCACACCCACCCATGCGCAGGCGCACCACACACAAACACCCGCGTGAGGCGTGGTGCCTGCGGGCTTCCGTACTGGGTCTCCATGGCGACCGCGTGGGCCGGGCGGCCTCCATTGTCGGGCTGCTGCTCTCCGCTGCCGGGCTCGCATGCGCTCCAGTTGGCGGGTACCCGGAAGGTGAGGCGGGGCGGGGACGGCCGGCTCGCTGGGCCCTCCTAGGGGACGGCGGGAGGAAGGTGGTGCCTCGGCCCCTCGTGTCCTCTTGCGTAGCTCCTGCCCGGATGCTTCCGGCATAGGCTGCACCTCTCAGGCCTGGAATGTGAAGCCCAGAGCGTCGGATTCAACTCAGCCTCGCCCGGATGGGGAAACCGAGGCAGGGAGCGGGGATGGGCGTGCGTCGGGGTTCCTTGAAGGGAGCCTGGGAAGCCCCACGGAGCCCGGCACTGCCTGGGCCCCGTGGGAAGTCCACGCTGTTGTTTCAGTTCTGGTTTTAAGACATTTTCCCTGTTCTGAGGTTCGAAGCCTCCCCTCCTCTTTATAAAGTTGCCTGATTCGGAGAAAACAAGTGAACTGACCGTGAAAAAGCCCGCAGGCTTCCATGGAATGCAGGCCGCCTGGGGTCGAACCCTGCTGGGTCCCAGTGTCGCCTCCATCCCGCAATTAACTGCGCCCCCCTAGCAGTCAACTCATCTACGGCTCAGCCTCCTCCCTAAACAGGGAATGAAGTACACACAGATGCCCCTGGGCTGCTGAGTGATTGGAATTAGATGAACTGATGCATTCCTACGTTGAATCTTGTTGCCGAATGAGTTGTTTGGAAATTGCAAGGGAAAGTGCGCCTCGCAGAATGAGGTTTTGATGAACAATACTTCTGAGAAAAAGTGTTGCTGGACAATGAAAATTCAAGATCCTTAATTTAACAGGTTTTCCCTGATGCTTAACTGGGTGTTAACCAGATAGTGCTGGTCACTGGGCCGAAAGGATAAGAAAAAGGCAGGCTTCCTGGGCTCAAGGAACTAAAAACATAGTTCAAATGGCCCGGAGCCACAGCACAGGCAAGAAACTGCAAACTGATGAGGAACCACCTGCCCCAGTCATTTCACGGAAGCATCATGGTTGGTTTAAGGCTTCCAAGTGTTCTTGTGTTGCCGTCCCTGACACAATCATTCCTGCTGTGCACCTTTGCGATTCCAGGAGTTAAATCTTGGAACTCCACTGTACAGAGTGAGAGCAGAGAATTTTAATCGGAACCTCTTTGTATTCCTTTTTTTCTTTTTTTTTTTTTTACTCATTTAAAAGTCAAACTTTTGCTACTGCTTATGAAAAACGATAGCTTTTGAAACAGGCTGAATCGCTGTGGACCTGCCTCACAGCTCTTCCGTATACATAGTTGTTTCTACGTCTCCCCTTCCTATGTCTCCAGGTGACTGCAGACCAAGGAGGATGAGCTGCTGTCCCAGGAGAACGGATGGAGCGAAGTGGCTCCTGCAGAGCTCCCTCTGCAGCAGCTGCTGATCTGGAGGAGGATGCGGGTCAAACTAGGAGCTTGCCTGTCGCCCCCTCCAAAGATGTTCACAAGGGTGCTGGAGGGATCATCTTTTCCTCCTCACCGATTCTAGACCTGAGTCAGAGTGGTCTGTGCCATTTGGAAGAGGTCTTTAGAATCCCCAGCCTTCAAGTAAGTGGGGCTGCCCCTCAGGCCGTGTGTCCGCAGGTCCCCTGTAGACAGAAATGGGAATCTACCCCTGGGCTTGCTTTGTAGGCTTCTTTCTCTTTGGAAGTGATGAATTCTAAGATGAAACAGAGGAAAGGTTCACTCATGGCTTCGTATGCCCATCACACAAAATGGGAAGTTCCTGATGGGGACCAGCCAATGGGAGCAGTACGTCTGTTTAGACGCAGGCGTCTGTTCTCTTCCCTGCAGTAATCCCAAAACCTGTGGAAGAAACTACTGCTGTACATCCTTGGTCTCTTCGTTAAAACACAAAACCTTGAAGGAAATCAGGTGACACTAACAGTTAAAAACTTTGTCGTCACCCACGGTTTTGCTTGTGTTACACACTGGTTTTACTCTATGCCCAGCTCTTCTCTGTCAGGTAGATGCTGTCTTGTCCCTGATTTCCAGAAAAAGCTTCTGTGAGGGCACAGCTTTGATGTCTGACAGTTGAAGATTCCCCCTGCAGTCCTTGTCACTGCCTGGATGCACAGAATTTCCTTAAACCTCATTTGGTTTAATCTGGAACGTGGGAATGATCATCTTTTCCTGGGTTATTGTAGGAATGAATAGCGTGAAAGCGTAGTGTCTAGAACACGGTTATGATGTTGATTGACTTTCTTTTTGTACTTTTAGTGGAGTCAGGGTTTCACCATGGTGCCCAGGCTGGTCTTAAACTCCTGAGACCGGGTGATCTGCCTGTTTGTGCCTCTCAAAGTGCTGTGATTACAGGCATGAGCCACCGCGCCTGGCCAGATTGACATTTTTGAGTGCTTTTACAAGAGCTACATATTTAGATGTTTAGTGGCTGCTTATGTTATAAACTGTACATTTTCCTTGTGTTTGCTGTTAGGGCTCTTTTTTCCTTCCTGCTGACATCTAGGATGTGGCACTGGTCATGGGGACCTGCTTTGTCCTGGCTCCTGTTACACACATGTCACTCTTAATGAACAGATAACCTCAGCCCTGAGTCAGGGATCCAGCAGACCCCTGAGGTTTCTGTTACCTTAATGCATAAAGGGAGAAGGAGGAAATTCCAGAGGTCCTGAGGCTTAATGAAGAAGCTTGGTAACTGTTACACCATTCAGAACACAGATGTCAACATAAATTTTATTACCATGGCGACAAGTCTTTAAAAGAGTAATCCCTGGGACCGGTAGACTCAGCCTCTGAAGTCATAAACAGCACTTCCAGAGTTCCTATCCTCACATGAGGCTTCCAGGACCTAACAGGAAAGATGGAACCTGTGTTGTGGCATGGCCAACTCACTATTCACCATGCCAGAAACTAACTCACCCATCCAAACCCAAAGAATGGACTCAGAGACCCAGAGGACAGTGAAAGTGGGACTCTAATGACCGTCTTGCAAGAGCAGGTGTCTGGTGGGCAGGCACACCCAGCACAGTTACAACAAGCAGTTTATCCCCTAGTGCGCAGGCCCCTCCCCGGTTCCTCACAGGCTGAGTACTGTGGGGTCGCATCTTCCCAGACGTCACCTGTTGGTTATGGGGCAGGGGCTGGAGGTGTTTTTTTCGGGTTGTCCTGCTGCGTTTTGTCACAGCCCACAATACATTGCAATCCTAACTCCGTCAGGGGCTCTTCGAGTGTTTGGCTTATGACCTGAGTAGGTGGGCAGCTGATAACAAACAGAACGAGCTGTTTTGCAGGCAAGTAAACTTTCATCTTAGACTCAACTTCTTTGGTTCGGGTGAGGGCAGCTAAGCGGGGCGGTGGGTGACAGGCAGGCATTGGCTCTCCATGAGGGGCCTAGTGTATCCCGTTTCTTCTGTAGTTACTGACCGAGGCCGGTTCAGCACACTCGGTCTTGGAAATGGACCACCGCAGACACGAGTTCCTTCGATTCCCTCCTCTTTTTACTCCCACTGGTCCCATGTCCGTATTTATTTTTGTGACCTTTGGTCCTTAAATTGTTTCAAGAGCTGTTGACTCTTCATCATCAGAGAGTAGGTCTGATGTGGTTTCTAATAACAGTTCATACGTCATGGCCATTTGTTGATGGCTGCTTCAATTAATTTTGGGGTCAAGCCTTTAACGCAGAGGATGATGCAACACCCTGTAGCTGTTGGGACCCCAGCCACTGGTATAAGGGATGGCAGAACGGAGGCTTCCATTCCCGGCCTTTTCCCGAGCCAGCTCTCTAGGTATAAGGGATGGCAGAACGGAGGCTTCCATTCCCGTCCTTTTCCCGAGCCAGCTCTCTAGGTATAAGGGATGGCAGAACGGAGGCTTCCATTCCCGTCCTTTTCCCGAGCCAGCTCTCTAGGTATAAGGGATGGCAGAACGGAGGCTTCCATTCCCGTCCTTTTCCCGAGCCAGCTCTCTAGGTATAAGGGATGGCAGAACGGAGGCTTCCATTCCCGGCCTTTTCCCGAGCCAGCTCTCTAGGTATAAGGGATGGCAGAACGGAGGCTTCCATTCCCGGCCTTTTCCCGAGCCAGCTCTCTAGGTATAAGTCAGTAAACAGGTCATCAGTTCTGGCATTTTCTGCCAACTCACTGGCTAAAGTTGTTAACCCCTGTAATGCTGTTGTGATGCTCCATCTGGGGTGGTATTGTTAGGAATGAAGGTGCCATGACGCATGCGCCCCCTTTCTCTGCCATGATCATGTCTAGCGCAAGTCCGTTCTTCCAGGCCATTCGGCTGGTGGCTTCTTCGGGAGCGTCTCCAGAACAGCGGATGAGTCTTCGTCGAGTTCTAATAGAGGTGATAAATCCAATGCACATTTCGTTACTCGTTGCCCACCAGCACAGGGCTGACACAAACCCAGCAGCTGTTTGGTTTGGGGCCCAAATTCATTCGTACTCCTGTAGGACTCCCAAGAGCCGGTGGAAACGCTGGGATCAAAAGGATTTGTTAGATGTCTGCGACGTCAGTGGCCACGTGGGCTCTCGGGGCTCTTATGGAATGGCAGCTTGAACTAAGGCACATGTCCCGGTCCAGTTGGACGGTGGCAGGTCATGAGGCACCTGTCCCTACGATCACCAGGCATCAACCCGGGGTGCATAGAAAGCCAAGCAGTTGCGTTTGTTTGACTCGCCAGTGGTGGTAGGTTGTGGGTACAAGTTGAGAGTTCTCTCACAGATGTACTGAACTCTGCCCCCTCCCTAGAGAGGCAAGAGGAGTGGTTCATATTCCCTGAGGAGAGTGAGGGGGTTGCTCTAGGATCTGATCTCCGCAAGGCGGAACAGAGCAAAGATAGACATTTGCAGCTCTCGCCCCCTGTATCCCTGTCCTGGCGTGCAGCCAACATGCAGCGTGTTCCGTGGGGACTGGCACCCCATCCTGGGGAAATGCAACCACCTCTGCCTGAGGCCGCCCAACCGAGCATGAGTAACTGTCGCTCTTATTAAGCTAGTACTGAAAATTTGACACATTCAACCCAGGCATTTGCATCCCCATCTCCAGTCTGGATTTCTAAAGTCTGCCTCAGGTCAGTTACCTT